AAGCGTTGTCTAAGCTATTGCTAACAACCCACTGATATTTGACGTCAAATAATTGTCTTCATAAATATATATACTTTCAGAAAATCTTCTTTCATCAGTTCAAAATAGAGCAAGTGTTTTCTTAAATAAGCAATTTAGGAGTAGCTGAGAATGACCTAGAAATCAAAGGAGCTTTTAGATTGCTGTTTCTCAGAGAGTGAACAAAATCAACTGATACAACCAAAAACACAGTAAAGAGGATTCAGTTGTATTGACAACACACCTCAAGCCTTCAGGTCACATTCCAAGCCAGAACAGTGGAACTATTCCTGTCACTTAAAATTAATAGGATGTGAATCACAAGTGCAGAGCAATTTTTTATTAGATTTGTCTTTGTGAATGTCCTCACCCTGTGAAAAACATCAATGCACAATTCTGTGACAGAATGTCAGCATAGATATGTTGGAGAAGAGCAAATGTAATGGTGCCAGCACAGGAGATATTATTTCAGCCCAAAGAAAATTACACGTCTTCATTCCAGCTGACAACCTAAACAATGCCATGCCTCAAACGTAAATGATACACTGTTTAGCTGGAAAAGCCATTAGACATATGATGGATAGTGGAAGTGAGCTAACTGCCTTCTTGGAACAAATAGTGCTTTGCATTTTGCATAAGCGAGTTGACAGGTTTTTAAAAATTTACTTCCAGATTTTGCTTTTCAAATAGAAAAAAATCAATAGCAACAGCTGAGATTTGACATATCTGCATGCCATGCGGCTTGCTCTTCTTCCCACTGTTACACCTCCAAGATGGGAAACAGCCTGAGTGATCTTCCAGTCATCTCCATTCATTTCTCAGCAACCTGATAAGTCATAAGTATTCCACCATCTTTCTTGCTGCTTGTCCAGCTTTGATCGAAATCTTTGTTCCTCCTAATCATTTAAGCATATTATGAGGATGTTTAGCAAAAACTTTAGAAAACCAGAGTATACTTTTGTGTTTTATCAGGAGTGAAATAAAATAGTCACAATATGCAGGAGACTAGGCCAGTCTCATGTTATTCTCATATTGATTCCACTTTGCTGTCATTTTATTTTAAATTAGAGTCTTAGAAAATAGAGTTGGAAGGACCTTCAACAGGTCTTCCAGTCTATCCTTTGCCCAAAGGCAAAATCAACTCTATCTAAACCAATTCTGGTAGATATTTGCCTAAGTGTTCTTTAAGACCTGCCTTGATGGCAATTCTGTGTGCTCCCTAGACCACTTATTCCAGTGCTATTTGTCCTTAAAATTAGAAGTCATTGCCTAATGTCTAATCCAAATCTCATTTGCAGAGGTCAACCATATTACCTTTTGTCCAACTGCACAAAGAAGCAGAGCGGTGAGAGTCACACCAGGGTAGTACAGAAAGAAACTGGATGAGATTGTCAATCCACAGAGGCTTATTGACATCATATCAGAGACAAACTGATGTATAAGGGACCCAGGGAGAATAAAGCTCCAGTTCTTCCAAAGGCCTCCCAGCGTAGCCCTCTTCCTTACCCTCACAGCACACCACTGGGGTGCGTAGCAGCCAGGTTAGACGTGCAAGGGGAGTCAGGTGAAGCTTTAGCATGCAGAACTATGCGGCAACACTGTGCTGCTGAGCCTCTCGCATGGCCATGGGCACTCCAGCACCATGACCCAGCATCTCATGTCAAAGCAGGGAAAACTTGTACTCCGTAGCAGACTGTGGAGCAAAGAATCAGTATTCTCAGTGCTACTGAAAATAAAATACTCAAGCAGAGGATGATAGGTCAAGAATCTGACATGTTGAACTACATTTCATACTAAATTTCTTCTTTATTAAAAGCAATTTCAAATTACAAACCAATGAGTACTAGGTGAAACTCGTTTGCCTGTTTTTATTGCTAACGTTTCTCCCATAAAGCCAAGGACCTGAAGGCTATCTGACTAATTTCAAGGAGGCTGGCTGTAGCTACAGTACTCTGAAACATTCATCTTCTACTAATTATCGTGTGGGAGTCATTCACAGAATGAATGAACCTTGTATTGCACATACGAGCTCTAAAACATTGTTCCATTATATTTTTTTACTTCTCTATCATAAATACAGGTTAGTATTTTACTATATTAGCAATCATCAAGAATCTTTACCTGAATGATACAGAGAAAGGCATTCAACATTGAAACTAGGATTTGTTGAGCAGGCAAGTTATTGATTCAAACACATTTGTTGAAAAAAAAGCCCCTCTTCAGTGAGAGAGGAAAGTTAAGTCTCCCATTCCTTAGGATAGTGCGTTTCTTTTGAATGTGATCAAAATCCATCCTTCACAACTATGGAACTTATCCAACTCGCACTGTAGTTACTCAAAAGACTCCTGCTAATATTGCCTATGAGCTGTGATCAGGTCACAAACAAAAGGAGGAAGGGGTTTAATACACCAGCCAGCATATGCCGAGCAGTACTATTCCAACCTGTAGCACTGTGGATTTGTGATCTTTCTTACGAAACAGAGTTTACCGAGTGCTGTATTCACAGCAAAGTATTGCTAAAGAGCAATTTTTTTAATCCCCACCTCCAAAGATGGTGGGATTTGGTTTGGTGGGTTTGTTCTGGGTTTTTGCAGGCAATGTAATCTCAAACCTTTACTGTACACATGGATACCCATTAGAGACGAGAACTTAATTTTTTTTGATTCCATATTCCATTTGAAGGTATAGAGCAACATTTTCGAACATTTGATTAGGCATCTACATCTCTCTTTAGAATTCTAAATCCAAGTCAGCAGTGCCAGCGCATCTGAAAATAAAAACATAAAACTGAAAGAAATCTCCTGAGAAGTCAATTTTCTCAATACATAAGCTGATCAAAGTCCATTTTAAAGAAGTAGAGATACTAATTGAGAAATCTAGACACCCATTCCTGAATGGTCAGCTAACAGGCTCAAAATTATGACTCAAAACAGAGTATTACAGATACTACGGTTTTGTCCCACATTTCAAAAAGGGAAAAAGGTTCTGAAGATAAGTATCGGATGAAAAATGAAGCAGAGGGATGACAGAAGGGTAAAAAAGAAGAAAAATAAAAAAAGATACGCTACAAGAAGGGCTAATGATGAGGAAGAAAATGCTCCTGTTTAACATGAGGGCTGATCTTGGAAACCCCCTTACTTGGGGACCAAGTAAGTTCTTATGTGGTGAGTAATGCTGCTCCAATGAGGCCCAGAGTTGAATCACAGGAGGCTTTAGCTCTGTAATTGTCTTCAGAGTGATAATTGTACATTAAAAGTAATTATTTAGATGAATGTTTATTTCTACATGCCACAAAAGAGAAACACCATTAGATAATCAGAGGAAAACAAATTTGATATCAATGGAAAACTCTTGCTTTCTGTGGATAGTGCAGCTCTGTATCCATGGATAGTATTCTTCGTGAACAAGGATGTTTGGCCTCATCATCTGCTGGAGTTACAGGACTCGGGTTGAAATGAACTTCGGCTAAGGAAAATAATTAGGGAAAGTTTTCAGTGATTATAATTTGGTTTTACTTATTTATAAAGAAACCTGTCTATGCACAACTCACAGTTAATCTCAGTGAATTCAGCTATGCTTTAACTTCCTTGGAGAACTGACAAAAATCAGCATGTTTCCAAAAACAACTAGGAATGTTGGATGGTTAGGTCAGAACCCTTACAAAGCTATCCCTTTTTCAGAATATGGGCCTTCAACAGTTTCTCCTTCTTGGACGGCAAAATTTCCCACTGAAATTATTCTGGAATAAATATGCTCACAGCTGGTCCTGTTAGGTTTTCTATAACCTCCAATATCTTTGCTCTTTTGGGAATGCAGGAGAGAGAATGCACTGTAGTGTTTCTTAGCTAGAAGTAGGTCCTGTGAGAGTGACAGCCAGCTGGCACAGGGTGGAGTATCTTTTAGGTGCTTAATATGAAAGCTAAGCAGAGATTTCCCTTCCTTTTGGAAAAAGCCGTACTGGTATCTTAAGGGCTTTCGTATTTTCTTTAGTACAGCAAAAGCCATCTGTAACACAGACATTAACCCCCAGCTGAAGTCTGGCATGGAAAAAAGCAGTAAAAGGTTTCCTACTTATTTCTGTTGTTTGGAATTTGACAGTCACCATATGGAACCTATTGAATTTTACTCTATCCAGCGCACACTGTTTTTCTTACCGATTCTAAAATTCCTGTCCAGAGAAATCCCAGGGAGGAAATCTGAACAATTGGAAGTTGAGCTTGTTCCATTAGAATTTAGATACTTCAGATTCCGGGGTGGTAATATGTGGTCTAAATGCCTTGGTGTAGATCTAACTGTTGCACCTGATGCGCTCCAATCTGAAATCAGAGAGTGGGAGGCTTACAAACAGAACTCTGTACAGGAAATTCTTCCTGGTGCATTAGGAAGAAATCACATCTCAATCTAGTAGAGATCAGGGAGAAGAAAGTTTTGTGCTTGCTTCTTGTGCCATCATTGTACCTGCCCTGAAGCAGTGGGTCTCTGCACAGCATGCTGCCCAGGTGAACCTTAGCACAATTCCTGCTTTTAAATTTTTTTTTTTTTTTTTACCGGCTCTGTCACACTTGTGCAGGTGGGCTGCATTTCCAGCAATTCAGTCCTCTCTTTCCCCTTAGGGACCAAGGCCAGTAATATTGCTTTCTATAAGGTCACACCAAAGAAGACAGGAGGTACAGAAGGGAGAGGAATCACAGCCTTTCCCTTTTTGCATCATATGGCATAAAGCTGGCTGATGCTTAGGGGAGAACGCTCTGTGTGCTACTTAGATTGCTCTTGCTGAATTCCCCTAGAGCAGATGGAAAACTATGTATTTCTCAGGAGCACACAAGGCACAGGATTGCTATGTGTAGTACATATGTGTTAATGCAGGATTTTTAGTCTGGTTTCCTGAAGAGAAAAGACTCAGCCAACTGGACTAGCTTCTCCTTTGTGAGACCCACTTTTTATTTTGACTAATTTGTAGAGGCATAAAGGCCTGAAGTCATTCAGTTTTTCCACATTTCTGTAAAAAAAAGAAAAAAAAATCAACATTCAATTACAGGAGAGACTCAAATATGGGCTTGCTCTGGTGAAAGGCTTCAGTATGAGCTTACCAATTCTACCTTTCATTTTCCCTGGCGTTGGCCAGTCATCACAGGGACAGCCCAGAATGAGCCACAGCACATGTTGCTTCTTGCCCAGCCAGTAAATAGCAGCATCTTAGAATAATTTAGGTTGGAAGGGACCCTTGGAAGTCTCTTTCTGGAAGTCCAACCCCTGGCTCAGAGTTGGATCAGGTTACTCAAGCACCTGTCCAGCTGACTTTTGACTCTCTCTAAGGAGAAAGGCTCTCTTCACAGACTCTCTGGGTCACTGTCACAGTATTTAACTACCCTCATTTGAACAATTTTTCCTTGTGTCTAATGAGAATTTCCCTAGCTGCAATGTATGTCCATCGCCTCTGGTCTTCCTGCTGTGCACCTCTGAGAAGAGTCTGTCTCTCCTCTATAACTACCCCGTAGGTAGCTGAAGACAACAATTAAATCCCCCTTAGCCTTCTCTTCCCCAGGCTGAGCAAACGCAGCTCCCTCGCATAGAAGAATCAGCTAACATCATTATGTCAGAGAGTCTGCACAGGTTTCTGAATCTTAGCTCTGTGTATGTCTATTAAGATTGGAAGGCCACCGAAAGTGTAGCTCACATAAGGGAACACTGAGTTGCATGTACAGAATTAGAGAGCAGACTGAAATCTCTTTGAGAAATCTACATTTTTTGTACTGCGCTCTGTCATCCCTCCATCATATCATATAGGCAGTTAATGGAAGAGTATAAGGGCCTAACATTTTTCCAATGCACGGTAGAAACAGTAGAAAAATATTGAGGGAAGCCCCATACCTTTTCATGTAGAATGAAAGTGACATCAGCAGCAGGCCAGGACTTATGAGTAAAGCTAAGCAAAACCCTGTAAGGCTTACCAGAATAATTATTCGGACGAAATCTCCCCCAGCAAAACTGTATTCGGCTCTGCTTCAGTACATCTTCCTTCATTAGGCAATGAAACACAAAGATAAAGAACCCTAACGAAGTAAGAAGAGAAATTCACATGTTTTGAGATTGATTCTCTAAACTGTTGCCCCTTTTCTAAACTCCTTGTATGCCATTCAGTCCCCTGTATGTTATGTATGGGCAGAGAGGTGGTCCCTGAGCCGGTATCAAGTTGGCCCAGAATTGCACTGAGAGCCATTTGTGCATATGAAAAGGTAATGGAAAGAGCTTTTTGCAGACTTGGTGTAAGAATAATCTGCAAGTCACTGGAGATTCTCAAAATCATGTTTATGACCAAATGAAAAGGATTGTCCCAGCTCCTGGAAAATCATTTATTGGGGCCCATATTTCAAAAGCATGAATTCATGCTTTTAATGGTAATATCTAACACAGCAATGCTAACTAACACCACTATCATTCCACTTCAGCTGAGCTTTCCTATTAAAATAGCTACAGTAGAATGCAAAAAGCTATATGAGCTCTCCTCTTCCCCCATGCTTAATTACATGGCATTACAAATGTATTTCTATTCCATAGTGCAAGATGGTTGTATTTGTAGCAGTATCCTATTCATAAATTACCTTGCAAGGTGTTAAAAATGCTGAAGAGGTACAAGAAAAATATCCTCACTGCTCCCCAGGCAAAAAACACAAAGCCCCATGTTAATCCCAGAAGGAACATCAAGCTGAAAGCACTTTTGAGGTCACGGAGAAAACCCTGTTTCCAGAATCTGGATCTATTTTGTGTCTTTGATTTCATGGAGTGGATTTGGAGAAGAACAGTGATGAACATGACCGTATTCATCAAAAACATTAAGAAGAAATAGGCCACAACGGAGATGTAAAACACCGTGTTCTCTTGAATCCAACAACTGCAAAAAAGGGAAGTATGCATTTAATAAGGAGCTCTGTGAGCGCTGAAACTAATGAAGCCTGGTTTCCAAAATAACTCTCATATATGGTTCTGTGATACCTAGTAAGGGACTTTCCCTTAATGCCCGTTACTTTCCCCCACTAAGGACATTCATAGAGTCTCTCCACTTGGCTGCCTTTTTTTTCATGCATGCTTTAGAAATTTAATGTCTTCAAGACTTCAACATTTCTGCTGAATTCCGATGAAACTGGTCATTGTTTCCCAAATTAATAACACACACACACACACACACACACACGCACACAGCAGCACACACGCAAAGACACACTGCCTTAGGAAAACCAAGTTAAATATGACCTAATTAAGAGCCTAATTAATAGTAGAGCACAAAGACAGGCACTGGTTAACTTTTCCTCAGACAGCAGTTAGTGAGTTTTGCTGCCTTTTTGCTAGAGAGTTATAACAATTTTCCCTCTGAGGTGTCATGGCTATGACATCATACTATCTGATGGTCTAAAATTCAAATCGTCCAGGTAGTCTTTACTGACAAGGGATCATATTGTGCTAAAGAGCAGGGAAAAAAAAGTAAATGGAAGTGTTCTGTGCTATAAAGTGCTTTAAGAAAAGGATGAAAGAGCTCAATGTTTTCCCACTGGAAAAGAGATGAGGTTGAGATGATTAAAATGAAGAATTTAAAATGATGAGTGACTTCTTAATGATTAAAGAGACAGAGCGATGTGAATTAAAGTTAAAAAAAAAAAAACAAGCAAACATGCAAAATACTAGAACAATTATTCTGCCTCTAGGTTCTACTGGAAATCTAGAACATGGCGGAGTATATACAAATGTTGCATCAAACTGAATTAATCTCACGTAACGCAAGAGAAATTTTCCAGAAAGGAAAAATGGAGTTGACACACTCGGTGACAAAGTATGTAGGGACATAACACTGGAGGAGCCCCTTTCTGTCCTCAAATCCAGTCTCTGAAGTGAGAGTTATTCCATGTGGTAGACATATAGTCCAAAAAGATCCACTGAACCGTAAGGAGAGGGTTAAGATGGCGGGAAAAAAGACAAAAGCAAGAGAGAAGATATTAATTCTAATTATTTCTTCTATCTGTAAGATACTATGGTGACCATCAAAAAGCTTAAAATATACTCACAAAGAGCTGAATGGATTGTTCTTAGAAAGTGATCCATTGCCATAGAAGTCTTTATTTATAATGAGTACAATACTAATTACAATAGCTGGTATTCCTAACATGGAAGGCAAGAGAAGAGAGATATTTAGGTTAAAAAGATAAAATGGAGAATATGAAATGCTGTCAGATAATCTCTGATGAATAATTACAGCAGTCACGTACATCTTGGGATCAAACTCTACCCTTAAAGCTTCTTTTGAAATGAGTGTAATTAAATATGTGGCATAGCAGGATCAATGTGCTTATTTATGTAAATTACAGATGAGTAGGCATAAAAATATCTGTGTTTGCAAAACGTCTGTGAGTGTTCAAACATCTCCAGAAGGGCTCCAAGCTGGTAAAATAAACCCAACTGATTATTAGGAAAAGCACGGTGCAAAAGATAAGCAGATTGCAGCATTTTCCATTAAGCTCTGATAGAGACAGACATTTTCCAGCCAATGTCTGATCATTCTCCCCTTCCACTCATTTCCTGTTTGCCATATATCTTTCAGTTCTGGCTTTTCTGTTTAGAATGACTGCCACCAATAATGCCATTGCAGATGGCTGCACCTGAGAACAATTACGTGCAACATTAAATCTAAGGAGAGAGATCATTTGCTGCACAGTAATCAAACACAAGCAAACAACATTTTAAACCAACATCTAACACTACCCAAACAATACAGGCCAAATTCTGCTCTGGGTCACTGCCTCCAATACCTTTTCTAACAGCTGAGCCAGCATATTGGGTCCTTTTTGCTATGTTTCTCCCTAATAAGTCTCTGATGCCCAGCGCTCAGAGTAAAGGTGAATGGGGTCTGCTGCCAGTGAAGTCCCCACGTGAGCTATGCATGAAAGCCAAATTCCCCCCTGCAGGGAAATTATGCATAGTATGGCAGCTAAGGACATTGAGCCTGGAGGGGAAGATCAGAATTCTCGCTGAGTATCAGCGGTATACAAAGGCTGTGGTCAGAGCTTCGTGCTCTCTCAGGCTCACCCACTAATGAGAACTGCCATCATAAACTGGAGTAGGGAAAGCAGTTCCTTAAACCCACTTTTCCTTGCACATAACTCTACAGGGAGCAGCATGCGCTTTCTGCTAATGTCTCCCTTAGCAGAAGAAGCTTAAGCTGGACCTATTTGAGGAAAGAATCCATCCTTAAGGCTTGCAGCGTGCACCACGTTTCCACAGGCTCAGTGTCCTAGCTTACTTTTGCCAATATGAACCTATTTTAGAGAAGATGATGAGCACAGAAGTCAAGAAAAAAATCCACTTACTTACCCCACCCAGCAATGCAGAATTTTAGGATGTACTTTGGGATGTAAACATTGAAAACTTTGACAAGAGCCAAGTACATGTGAACAGACTCCAGGCACATCCATGTGAAAGCTGCAAGCAGGAAGTAGTGAAGGAGTGCAGCCACAGTGATACAGAGACCAGGCTTGTTGAATGAAGACAGCCAGGAATTGACCAGGAAGACCAAGTTCACCATCAGCATTGCAGCACAAAGATTTAGCAGAATTTTTGAAGGATTGTCTCTCCGCAGCTTTCTAAAAAAAAGTGGAAAGCAACAAGGTTGTCATTGAACGAGTTGCAGTGGGTACATTCTCTAACACAAGATAAGACAAATGTGCACTCAGCGTGTTTTAAATGGGCTTCCTGTAGTGTAAGGTGTGTCTACATTAGTGTTTTAGATCAAATCACTAGTATATTTTTGAAGCAAATCTTGTGCACTGAAAAAGAAGACCTTGCATATTACCTGGAAGAACTGCTAGGTAGAGAAGGCAGACTTAGCATTGTCTTTTCACTAGTCCTTTAAATATTATTTGTTACTGCAATATTATTGTATTATGCAAGCACCTAGAGTTTACCTAGGACTAGGGCCCCATCATGCCCGGAACTATTAGTACACACAGTACGGAACAAAAGGACGAAACACAAGAAAGACCAAGAGCGACAGAACAGGAACATAAGTATCCCTATTTTACTGTTCATATCATCCTACGTACAGTCTATATACAGGGAATATTGCAGACTCCTGATATGATATCTTACCCATATGCAGGGGTAAGTTCATGAAACGACAGAAATTTAGGAAAATAAAAATTGCTGAACAGTTCTGACTACTGCACGTCCTAAAGCGTGAGGATATGAATCTCTCTTATTTTGCTATAGTCACAGGTAAAAACAAAGCAACATTTTTATTTCAGATCTCACTCTTGCTTCCTGTGCATCACAGCACCAAGCATTACTGAACATTCTGATAGGTATTGCAAATTCATTATCACTAAAACATTAAAAACAATACAAGAAAGAGCATCAGACTTACTCAAGGGCTAGATACGTCACCAGTGTGATACCCAAAAAAAGGGAAGAAGCACCACATCCTGCATAGCTTACCAAAGTTAATATATAATCATTTGTGGTATCTATCTCTGTCCGGGACAAGTCCTAAGTTACAAAATAAAGAATCACAATTTTTAGCCATAACAGATAAAGAAAATTGCTTTCCATATTTTCACATTGTTAAAGAAACCAATTTCTATTCTGCTTATGGTTAGTTTTGGAGGGTTTCTATGACTATTTTCATATGCTTCTTACTGTACAGTCCTATAGAATATCCAAACGAGTCAAAATATGTAGTATTTAAAATATCCAGTACTTAGTTGTGAAGTTAGAAAAGCTGCAGTCCAGAAATGCTCACAGTGAGCATTCCAGTATCTCACCAGAATTATTCAGCTGGGAACTTGCTTTGCAGGAGTTTGTTTCAATGGCAGTTGCCAAGCTTGAGGACTGCACAAACATGTTAAATGTCTTGGAGGGTAGGAGAATTCTCCAAGTCAAAAATCCAGAAAGTGTCACCCTGCAAAAACCATCAGATAGACTGGGCCCTGCTTCTCCACAGTTGTTCCCAATAATGTTATTGACAAAATTTTTGTGTTTCCTGACACAGTTTCTCTCCTATTTTGTGAGACTTTGAACCTCAAACTAGAAGCCTTCCTCTCTGGGATACAGTAGAATTTGTACTGTTTAATATTTGTAAATAGGCTTGTTACTGAAGTGAAGGTATAAAAGAAATGTGACCTTAAACTCAGACTGAATTCTATTTGCTGCAATTGAAAATTTATTAAGTCTAAAATCTACAACTTCTAAACTCCTTCCTGTAGGAGTCTCATTTTTACCACCAGAGAAGGCTTTTGTGCCTCTCTTTGAGTAGAGTAATGCTGACCTCTAGGGGAAGCTGGGCATATATTGAAGGCAAAGGGTACGTTGTATACTGCTGGGATTAGGCAATTTTCAACTATCTGCTCCTCAATTTACTTTGAATTTACCTATCACTTGGTTTTTGTTGCAGCCCATTCCCAAGCAGTTATCTCTGCACTCTCTTTTTTTGACATAAAGTTTTAGAGTCAGGTTTCTGTGTATTAAAATAATTGCTGCTTTTCTTTTAAACTTCCATTTCTGATGGAACGTTCATAAAATTTTCAGAGAGATGTAATATCATTAGTTGCTACTGGCAGGTAATTAAATGTATCACAGTATTTCCAAAACAGCAAATAACACATTAACGTTGATTAAGTTATACTGCAAGAGGTACAAACTATATCTGTAAAGTGAACTTGCATTAAAGCCAGTGATATTTAGAGGACTTTATACCTTAAAAATTATTATAACTGCTTTGTTTGTTGTTACTTATTTTAACAAAATCACAGATATCTAACAGCATGGATATAAATCTCCCTTCTCTCTCCAAAACTAGAGATTGCCTAGTGCCAAGGGACTTTTTCGGAGATGATTCATGAAGTACTTACCAGTAGGACTCCAAAATGGGTAAGGTGCTTACAAAAACAGATTGTGTAATTCATATCTGTATATTCCATTTCACACCCTGATGTATTCCAACCACCCAGTCCATCTGTGTAATAGAGAAAAAGGGATTTTTAAGCAGAGTTAGTCATGCTCAGTCATTTATAGTTCTGCAGCATGCAGAAAGTGTGAATACGAGCTGAAGTTAGTACAGATTGCAGGGGCATTTAGCAATACGCAAGTGAGATTTGATATAGGAACACATCTTATATAGTTGCCCGAGAACCTCAAAACTTGGATGAAAGCCTTTGGAGGAATGAAGAAATATTTAAAGTAGTTTACATGCCTGCCCAAAGAAAGCAAGAAGGTAAGCAGAAGTGTGCTTGACTAGATTACACTGTAGGATGTGGAAACTGCACAGAGAACAAGAAATGTTTACAGAGCAGAGGACAGGCAGAGTCCAGCATTGAAGAATCCAGATCTTCCCCAGTGAGTTTAAATTTATAACCCTATTTATGCAGCCTGAATGGCATACTCAGAAGCTAAACTTCTGGTTTTTTTTTTTTTTAATAAATTTCTAACATTGATAATTGCAGAGAAAACCTTTCCCTCATGAGCTGAGTTAACCTAACAGACAATTGTCTTTGTGTATCTGTTCACTATCTGAGACCTATTCAAGGCTTGATGACAGCAAAAGTCCTCATTGGCTTCTCCGAAGTAACTCTGAGAAGTCATCTGATGTTTCTTTGCATTATACTTTTTTCTTAGACTGACTTCTGTATTCATGTTGATGCACCATTACACATAATGCCAGACAAGCATCCCTTAGTAATAATACTGATTATTATATTAATTACTGATTACTGAGTATCGATATCAATGCAAACCAGCAATACAGAGCAGCCCAGTCTGAATAGGAGAGACCCAGAGTTTCAAACTGTATGTCAAGGAGCCAAAGGCTCTGCAAAACTGATGACAGAGCAAGTGTGGCAGCTCTGTAAACAACACTTACTGTTCTTCAGAAAGTCCCAAAAGACGCAGTGCACTGCTCTATTACCCTGAAAGCAGAGAAAAGGGATACTGTGACATTTATTCCATATGCTTGTACACTGTCTGCACTTCAAATCTAATCAGGATTTATAGTTAAGGCAGCTGGAGTTAACTTCCCCTGTATTGCTTGGCAAGAAAGCCCACCAAGGATGGCCTCTGTGACTGTTTGTTTGGCGGTGCTGCAGAGGGTCATAGGTTACTGAAGATGGAGCCGTGTAGGGGCAGTTGGACACTTGGTCTTTGAGAACCTACTGAAATACCAGCGATCTCATCCACAGCTCTGAAAATTTGCAGAGGATCCCAATTTTTGCCTACCACTTCCCAATGGATATCCTGGGGGCCAATGATTTTTCCATTTTTACCAGTCTTTCTATACTTCATTTATTATCTGTTAATGCAAAAAAACTGACAAGCTGTCCAGCCTAGACTGATTCCTGTAGCTGATCTCATCAGTTTCATGTGGTACCTGAGATGTCTTACCTAATTATTGGGAAATTCAAAAATTATCACTAGGACTTACAGTAACAACCTGACATTTTGCACCACAAAAAAAAAAAAAAAAGAAATTTATTTCAGAATTTCAGTATTTCTGCTAATTACCATTCTGAAACCAGATAAGGCAGAAATGTAGGAGAAGATAGAGCTTGCCTGTAAGTTTCAAACAGCAGAATAGACTTAGTGGGTATTCATTGCAATGTTTGCTATTGGGGACATTCTAGTTTATTACTCATATTGCTACGGCAAACTTTCCCAAGGCACAGATTCATTTTCTTTTATTATTTAATGAAGTCTGAGAAGGCAGAGTTTACAGGAAATGACCTTAACAGATACGCTGTTAAGACTTGTGATCTGTAGACTGGCAAAAATAATTAGGCAGAAAGCCAAAGATGCAGATTAGGAAGATATCTCATTAAATATTTAATTAGGGTGTTTTAAAAGGTTGAGGAATAAATCTGAGAAGTGCCAGATGGTCTGGTAGAGTAAGAATGATGGAAAAGAGAGGACTATCTAGACAAAACTTCTGGGCATGTATTATTTGCAAGAACTGACTGGAAAAAACGTATTGCTATAAAAGCAGAATTTTCAAGTTCTCATTAACTTGAACTCTAATCAAATTCACCTTATTAAATAATTGTGTTCTGCCCTGGGCAATATATTTGTGTGGAGACTGCATCATAAACATTTGCAACACAGAAGTGTTAAGGCAGAACCCACTCAACAAGTTGGGCCCATTTAAAAATAATTTAAGATAGATTTTAGTCTTGAAACACTGTTTTGGAACAAAATAAATATAATTTTGAAAACATGTTTACAATGATTTGAATTTTTCTGAAATTTATTCCTGTTGGAGCAATTGTAAATCATTTCAGTCAAATGCAAACTGCCATTCTCAGCAAATAAACTATTCCTAGAAAAAACTGCCCAGATCAAACAAGGAAACAATGAAACTGTCCCTCACTTCTAAGCGTGGCTTTAGAATGGAGACACAAACTTTACCAACTTGCAGGAATTAAACAGCCCACAAAGATGTGTGTGGCCTGTCAATCTTTTGGTTGGTATATGATGGGGAGGTCAGTCAGCAAAACATCTTAAGCTTATCTGTCCTGTTATCAGTTTATTTTAAGGCTAAGTGAAATAGGTTCTGTTTCAACACACCTCTGATTAAATGAACACATCCTACCGTATTTTGGTCTATGTGCTGAAGAGTAATATTCACAGGCTCACTGAGGTTCTGAATGGATGCATTTTCAATGCTGGCACTCACAACGTAAGTATTCAACTTCTTCCTCTTTAAACTATCATCCTGTAATAGAGAAATACACACATGCAAAAGATTGCAAGACATTTAAGTTAACAGCAGAGAGCTGGATTGCTGTTTCTTTCTTTAAATTGTATTTCTTGGAAACGGAGATCAGCTAAACATCATGGGATGCCTGATGTAAGTTAGCTATTTGCTACTTCATTAGAAAGTGTAGATTGTAGGAAATTCAGGGACAGTCTTCACATTAGCTAAAGTAGAACTCACTTGCAGGGGCATCATCTGGATTGTGAAAGCTGTGTAACCATTTCAGTACATTACACATGCAGTTGTATGCCATTTAGCTCATAAGACAGTAGATGCAATTGTGAATATGTGAATACTTCTTCTGTGTGAAAAAGCGTTGCTCAGCATATTCTATCTTCATCATACCATAGAGAAGAAGAATCACCTCCCTTTTCAAATTACGTTAACTCTCCCCTCCCCCTGAGCAAGAGGACCTAGCAAATACTGGAATAGACCTAAATGCTGCGTTATCAGTGTTGCTATTATGTTAATGGAGAGGTTAGTCTTGCAGTTTGTTTCATGATATTTGACGTGTACTATGCATGTTCCTGAAGCAAGAGCTTACTAACAGAGGAAGATTAGGGTGTGCTGTTTTCCCACAGAACAGAAGTAGTGGAATAACACCAGCTACAGAAAATGAAAACAAGTCTCAGGTCTACAGACACCTCTCAAGAACATCATTACTACAGAGAAGGTTTTGCTGCTTGAGTACATTTTCCCTGCAGGTTTGTTAGTGCTCCATCAGTCTGATGTTAAGTGTGGCCAGAACAGATTACACTACTGGGATCTTTCTTCTGTATACATTAAGAAGAACAGCTGAACCGATTACTACTATGTTAGTATTTGTTAAGAATCATAGTTACCACAAAAAGTGAAGTTGTGCCAAAAAAATTAAACTGGATCTTTGACTGCTTTTCTGGGTCAGAGTACTCGATTCCTAAGAATTTCTTCAGTGATTTTGGCAAAAACACAGAGGCCAAGGCCTTTTTGAAAGGGTTTTCTTGAATATTGATCTGCAGGAAAGAGATGACAGGCTCAGGACTGTTCTCCTCAGGTTAAATACACAACAGTACAAAACCGCAGCAGGCATCGTCTGTTTTAGTCATCAGTACCTGAGGTAATATCCTTTGCTCTCACCTTGAGATTCAGGCCCCTCTCATATGAGGTAACGCCAAAGGCCAGTCCTTCAAAAACACTGGGATCTGGACGCATCACCGCCAAAGCCAGGGAAGTAGTTACAATCGACGCATTTCTTTCTGTGTAAGTCATCTTATAGCCTATCTCCTCAATTGTCTTCAGGATACTTTACCAAGAGTAACAGCAAAAAAAAAAAAAAAAAGATAAATCTCTTGAAATGTTCTCCTAGCTTCATAATGTACAGTCAGGAGAAAATCAGCTAAAATTCTCTGCTCTGATTTATGATCACAAAGAGCATTCGCTGAAGTAGAATGGGGCCCAGTTTGGGCTACGTAGCTTTCTGTTTGCCATAGGGTCAGATGATCACAAGTGATTGAGTTAGCACATCTCAATAAGTTTAAACTCTGTCAGGTGGAAGATGCTCTCCCTCTGATGGAGAGCCAGTCCTGGTCCATTGCAAGTCAAAGTAAAACAGGTTAGACTAAATCATCTCTGGAGCATCTAGGGGGCAACATGAAGCAGTTCTGGGAAGACTTGAGTCAAAATTCACATAATCAAACACCACATTTCATCTGAAAGGCAGTAACTTGCAGAACATGTTAATTTGATTGTTTGCAATCATCTAATTGTATCTTCAGGTAAAACATCAGTGTTACAGAATAATTTAGACTGGAAGATACCTCCTCTGGAGGTCTGTAGCCCAGCCCTCCCGTGCCCCCTCCAACCCTCCCAGGAGGGCATATTTTAAAGATAGGTCAGGTTGCTCAGAGTCTTGTCCCATCAAGCTCTGAATATCTCCGAAGGCAGAGATTTCTCAGCCTTTTGGGGCCCTTCTCTCTGTGTGTTTTTCTTAATTAGAGAGTAGGGGCTGAAATCCAAAGGAAGCAGCAAGTTAGAGTTGTTTAATTCCTTCTGGGTATTAAGAGTCAGAGACAGATTCACTTCTTGTTTGGCAGCCCTCAAGGCTGTTCAGCGCTATGCAAGAAGGGAAAATACTCGGTGGAAAATGTGTAAGAGAGCTGGCCCTGATAGTGTAAAAGAAAACCTTCCTGTCCTTCTTTGGTCTGGTGTTAATTCATGGTGTTACCTTCATGCATAGTCAGTCCCAGATGGACGGGGACTCCCCTAAGATCCTTTCAGCCACAATTGCCCTAGAGCTGCAAAGTCTCAAGTTCAACTTCCCCAAATCATCTGGGAATCTACAATTTCTACTGAGGCCTGAGAGAAGCAGAATCATAGCTGTTGTCAGGGTATCATGCTACTGCTTGTCAGGTATCATCACGGTGCTTGCTCGTGCTGGGTTTTTTTGTTTTTAGTAAAGTCTAATTTACAGAAAAATTAAAATGTCCAAGAGTCCCCTGTCCATAAAAACCTTAAAGTCATTTTTATTACCATTTGTAGGTAGCAACAGCATCTCCATAAAGGATCAGGAATCCAATGTCTATATTTGCACTGGAATATCATCCTCATCCCAAATGGGTATTTCACTTAAAAAGAAAAAAAAAAAAAAAACAACCTATAGCCTATTTGAGAAAGCAGAGGTGTTGAGTGCTGGCAGCCATCACAGCCCCCACTCCACACACTGCAGTGTGGTAGACTTTGAAGAGAGAGAATACAGCCAAAAGGATCACAATGCTACTCAATGCTTTTTCTCTGGCAGATTTTATGAGCTATTTTTGGCTTCTCTTCCTCGCAGGCTCCCAGGTTTGAAAAAGTAATGCATACTTGTCCAGTACAAATGGCTGGGCTGTTGCATATTCAATCTCCCACCTAGAACTGAGTGGAAAGTTCATTTTTCTTGCTTTTAATATTTTTTATTAAAACATTGTTTTATGTTAACTGAAACAGAGAATTGCAGATAGGCACAATCTTTAAAATTAAAGAGAGCAGAAGATGTTGCAACATTTTTTAAAATGATGAACACTGCATCTCTAATCCTGTGAGAAAGTGTTGAGTTGGTCTGTGCAAAGGAGGGTAACCTCCCTTATTTGGAGGTAAAGGCTATGCAGTGAGAAGTGGGTAAGCTGCCTTGCCCAAATTAGAAATGGGTAAACTCTGTTTACATGCATTTGCCTTTGTAAAGGTTGGCACTAGTTTTCTGAGCAGTGCTCTGCTCATCAACAGAAGCCAGACTTCTCAAAAGTAAGTAGATGAAGTTGAGTCAAGTGAGAAAAATGTTTTTCAAAGGTACACAGCAACTTTGATTTTAGTACGTATGAAAAAACACATGATGGCCTTAGGATCCTAAATGAGACTTTGGAGTCTTAACATTGGACCTTGGAATCTAACATTTGGAGTTTATCTATTTTTAAAAAATCTTTATCGGCACAGGTACAGCACTCCAGTCAGGTGTGCTGGTAGAACAGATGTGTGTCTCCAAGCTGATCTGCCAACAGACCTCATTGCTGAGCTGGAAAGATCACCTCTAATGTAAGATGGTAGCTAGCTCAGTCTCCCTGATCTGCCTCCAGGCTGAGATCACCATAGAGAACAACCTTTGCGAAGGTAACTTCTACAGAACTGATTCTAGTGAAAGCAGCTTTGAGAACACAGTAACCACTTTCTATTGCTAAGAATCACAATCGTGTGTAAGATACAAGCAGGGAAATTACTAACTCTTGCAATGCCTGTGTAACAGCCAAAAAGCATGAATACGCCATGGTGCCATTTTAGATTAGGAAGCCACGTCCGCACAGTTATCTTACTTACCTATTGGTCATTTTTCTAATGCTCTGATTTTCTATTTCTTGCAGCAAAATATAGTTGAATACATTTAATATAGCCTCTGCAAGTGTGCCACTTATATCAGCAGTCCTTGCGATGTCAGAAGTTTTATCTGCAATGATTTCTATTTCTTCCATATCCAGTTTTGCATCTGGCAAAAGATATAAAATATGCTGTACAACATCTTCCGCGTTCTCTGGAAAAAAAAAAAAGATGATTTATGTGACATAGCTATATGTCTAGCTATATAGCTACATGTCTCTGTATAGAGCAATGAGTCGGAGTTTGCTTCTCTTCTCATATGGTCATAATGCTATTGATCAATTACAAAATCATTACCTAACCAAAAAAAAAAAAAAGCCTCAACAAGTCAACGAAAATTGCAAAAACTTCAAAGCAAAATTTGGATAGCTCACTTTGTATTTTAACAGAACACAATGCAGTTTTCATAAGACCATTAACACCTGCCTTTATATTATAAAGATTATCTGTGAATATATACTCAATTTTAATCATTTTCACAAGCACTTGTATGAATATCCGAGTGTTCAAAATTACACAAGCACCCTCTCTCCCCAAAGGCTGCTTAACCGGCAAGGCAAAGAAGCAAAGGCAAGTTATAAATGTTATAGTTCAAAAATTTGGTATTTGCCATTCATGGTCTCATGATCCTTCCATAAGTTTTTCATGCAAGCAGAACTTTACACCCTGGGAATCAAAGGGACTGTATGTAAGTGCAGATATCTTTTAATGATCTATAACTAATGCCATTGCTGAATAGGTAGATAAACAACAATATAGTTTTTGTTTACCATTCAAACAACTTGCACTGTTCAGCACAGTTTTTAAAAAGATATAATCAGGTAATAACTGTCATCTTAAAAGTTACATGAATCAGAGCATGAACTTTTAAATTCCATACACTAGTTTGTGCTTCTTTGTAGAAGATCTACAGACCAAGCATTATTTTCATGTGGTAACAGACAAACCACAGCGTACAGACAAGCAAAAATTGTCACGTTATTCATCGGTTATTTACTTAGTTCTAAATCTAAGTGTAGGATTTGAAGCACTAATTCTTCAAAATGATAGAGAATTCTGAAACAGCTGCAAAATTCATTTATATTAAAACCATTTACAATGAGCAAGTAAGTAGGATGCACATAACACAACCTTATCACTTCAGTTCTTCAGATGTCCGACATGTACATGATCTGAGCATAACTAATTTTACTTTGATTCACTGTATTACTGAAGTTTCTGGTACCTTACCATCTGTTATGATGACATCCTGAAGATCTAAAATATTATTTGGAAGTTCTTTCAGTAATTTACATTCAGTCAGGCTTGGTTTCTTCCAAATAGCTTGTTCAAGCTCTATATCAATTGCACTGAAAAATGAAAGCAGTGTGTGCATTGTTACATTTTAAAAAGCTATTGATTGATATTTCCTGTATTTCCCATTTAATAAGCTAAAAATGTAATTAATTAGCCTAATTTTGAAAACTGACTTGCAAGTCAATTCTGACGTAGCACTCATTTAGCATAGCGGGAGCAGAGCTTAAATACGAAAGCAATTGAAGATGCATCGAAAAGTAGTGACATTCTGCCATTGCAGGGCAGAGAGCCATGGATGGATGGCACAACATGCTACAGTGTATTTGCTTCCCCTCTCTTCCTGAGCAAAAAGCCAGCTTCCTAGTAACCTGGCTTGCACTTGCTGCAGGTGATGAAAATGATGCAATATTGCCTTTTCCTGCAGCCCATGGTGGTTTGGCCCTGTATATTTTCCGTCTTCCTTATCATGGCACTGTTGTGTGCCAATGCAAATTACCGTCTGAATTCCTACCACACAAAACCTTGCACTCCCTGCTGCTTCCCATGCAGGGACCAAAAGGAGATAATCTCTTAACTCACCAACTCCTTGTAGCAGACTGCAGAGGGTTTTTGCTGCAGCTGACCTCAGCTTTGGCAGCTGGATTTGTCAGTGGCCAGGAATAATTCCCCTTGTATGCTGTTTGTGAAAAGCTTGCTGGACAATCCATTAGAGCTGAGGACAAGACACAGAAAATCTTTGTAAAGATTTAATAGTGAAAAGGAGACCTCCCTGACATCAAGGGACCCAGCTATGTCCTGAATATCTCTTCCTGCTG